GATGAATTTTATTAGACCATTCAGACAGTCAGAGAAGTTAACTTAACAGTGAACATATTCAATTGCTTGATCAAGATTATTTTACTATGAATTGTAATAGTTTATATTAATTACTCAGGGTTTAAAAGCTTTAGATTCAATTTAGTATTAGTTGTCTTTAGATATGGTTATACAAGAACGGTGTCATCTCGTCGACAAAGATCAAAAACCTGTTCTGCACGATTATCCATTTCCAATAGCTGCGTAGCTTCAGCGATATCAGTAGAATCTAACTAATGGTTAGAAAATAAGTAGCTACCTGCATACATATATATAAATACTTCTGTAATAATTTATTCTTTTCATAGTCTGCAGGAACACCTACTTTTCCACCGCACTAGAAATCTGCGACCATCTAAAGAGCACTAAGAAGAGTACATAACTTCCCTAAGATTTTCTGTTATACTTGTATATTTGATATAGATTATTTACATAACGATTTTTTTATTGTTTTGTTACCCAGTACAGTAAGATGCTGACTTTATTTTGTGTGCGTTACCCCAGCAAAATAATGTCGAAAATGGTCATTTAAACGTTATAGATAATTAGTTGCTCCCCTTCTGTAATTGTTAGACATATTTTTAAATTTGTTTCACTTAAACTTTTTTAGTTATTTCAAAAAAACATTTCCTGCTGGGGTAACGTTTGAAACGTTACCGCAGCCAGACATTTTCTTTTTTAATTGTAATATTGAAATAAATGTTAGCTAAATAATTAGTTATCTGGACTAGGCAAATGTTACAACTTATTTGGTATTTGTATTTTCTTCGGCTGCGAAGTTATTCGAGATCCTGCTGGAGTAACGTTTGTGGGTTTGCTGGATCTCTGAAACGGGTAAGCGGATTGTAACCATCTTTGGTACATAACTTCTTAAGGATTAGTTTTAATTTGTTCGACAATAAAATAACAAAAATAATGTACCGTTTAAAAATTATTTAGGTAAGTATGAAAACACTTCAATACGTCCTAACACTTTAAATAAGACCTCTAAAGACTTACTTCAAACGTTATTCTATTGCTTGTAACTACCTTCAAATGTATACGAATTTTCGTAAGAATACTGTAAGTGACTAACCTCACACACTTTGAACCATACGTCCATGAGGGTATGGCCGTATGGTTTAAAGTATCAAAGTTCTTTTCACGACAGTATCCATAGCCTTCAAAATACCAACTCCATTGCATTCTTTATGTATTTAAATATTAGGCGTATGTTTTATTGAGTAAATTGTAGCCGTAATCGTTTGGAGAGCTGCCACTTCAATCAAAAAATCGGTGTCGAAAAACAATATGCATTTCTAATTTTAACAAAAAACTTTATAATTTTAATTTTGTTCTCTCTGTTGGTCCCCCCTGACCCTTACTATGATGATACCATGATTTGAACATTAAAAAAATAGAACAAAGCATTGCTACAAAGTCAATTAATAATAACGCCTTGTTATATAAGTATTTGAATAATACGCCAAAATCAAGTCTGTGTCTCTCAGTAATGTACAGAGTTTTCCCCATATCGTTTCTACGAATTTCTAACGAAGTATTTCATTGAACTCGTCGCTTAGAAATGTAAATTTTCGAATAATTCCTGATGAATCAACAAAAATAAACAACACATTTCATTTTAAATTTAATATTTATTTATTGACCATCTCTTAGCTTAAGACAGGAAACATTTATAAAATAGCAGCTACTCACAATAATAAAATTATGATAACATTTACAAAACGTTCTTTTAAATTTACTATTTCACAAACAATTACCTCGCCTCTGATAACCCGTGTTTATAACTTCTGTTTACAATCAGTACTGAACTTATTCCACTTACAAGCAAACAACTCAACATCATTCGAACAAAATATTTTTACGGATTAATGATCGTATTAGCAACAGTTCCTTACAAAAGTTATTTAACGTTCTTTTGTCTCTACATAAGTATCTACGTTCAAATAAATCTGTTGTAACAATTTCAAGCACTCCGTAAAAATATTTTAAGAAGGCTTTGGTTGTTTCTGAAAGTATTTTAAGCTTTCTTCGTGGCTTTGCGTAAGTTTGATATCTAAATTTAGTTTTTTGTTGTTGAGTCTGCAGTTTCATCTTCACGAATACGATAATTTCTTTCTTCGTTACTATATTATATGACATATTTCGATTGGTTTATAATCAAATGTTCATTTGGTAGTTTTATGTGTTCATGACATCAATACTCATTGGATATAATACAAAAGAAGTTACTCCGCTGTTACGGTTTGTGTAGATCCCGATGACTCAATCATTTCAACTGATTCTGACTCACCACGGTCTGATATTGGAAAACAACTCAGGGATTCTATTATTAAATTACGCAGGAGTGCCAACTAGTAAATAAAATTCCATATCAGCAAAACTATTAACTTTATTTAGATCTCAAGTTCATACGAAACAAGTGAAGATATTCAACTGCTTAGAAATAATATAAATACAATTACAATCTTTAAAAGCATCCTCTCACTCTTTGTTCGTTGTCTCGCTCCCTCAAACACGGGCGAGCAATACTGATTTGAGTTGATTCAATAATCCCATGGTCTGCACATTCTATTCTTTTTCTTACATTTCCCAATCAACACGATTGTATAACAAATCCTAGAGGCTCGGTATTAAATTATTTATTCTCTAAGAATCTCACATTGTTCAAGGACAAGTCGTGTATGGAACAACATTATATAAAAATTCATCTAGTTTTGGTCTTAACAGCAGTAAATTCATGACAAAGAAATAGTATAATCGGCAAATTCATCAGTCAATATCACCTCGGCTGTTAGAAACTCAATCAGAAACCCGTTTAGTTCGGAGTAGTTAGGTGTTCATTGTTTGAAAACTTCATTTATATCTGTGAACTTTCCGACATGACTAATTCTTCGACCGAATCGAGTCCAAACGTGACGACATTACATTACAATGAAAAATCTACTTATTTGTTAATATGTGCGTTTTATGTTCAATTTAAAGTACGTTCTGCTTGCAAATTTCACAACTAGTGAACATAATGTATCTTGTACACTTTCCTTTGTATGAATCTCATATCCTTTTACACTTACTTATACAATAATGATCCCCTAATAAGGGCAACAGCAGGGTGTACAAGCGCCTAACTTTATAAATTTTATATTATAATAATGATTGTTCAACATTACATACAACATGGTAGCAAATGATCGAAAGGAAATAATCTAACCGTCACAAATGGCGATCAAAATTCTAAATGCGCTTCTACAGTCGGGTAAACGACATTAAAATTCGGTTAATCCGTATAAAATGGCCAATACAGAAAATGAATATTTTTTAAGCTTTTTACATGCACAATATTCGAACAAGTCGGTTGGGAAAACTAGCACAAATACGACACACAGGCTAGGCTAATATCACAGGAGTGCTGGGAACGGTGCAAAACCCACCCCCCGCCGCTCGGCGAGCCACCCGCCGCGCCGCACGCCCCTCTAGCCCCCTCCAACCCTCCCCTCCTCGTGCCGCGCCCCGACACACTCCCTATACCTATTTACTATTCAGAGGGGGCGAAACGGGCTACCAGCGATATATTTTGCGACAATTAAGATTTTAAAAGAAAAAGGAACTTGCTCCGCGGATCAATTGCACAATCAAACGATTGATTACCTTCAACTTATTGCACAACCGTTTGATAAGTAACGCTTTTTATTACACACAGTCCCCCGACTAATAAACGTTATATAAAATTGAGCAACCTGTGTTGCCAATAATTATTCAATTATCTTTAAAATTTTATATTGTTTGTACGTTTCTATAATATTTATAAGTGGGGAAGTGTGGGTGTTATGCTGAATTAAAATAAGTCAACAATGCACAAAGTTATCTTAACCCCAGAATCAACCCAATTAAATATCAAAATAATGGTAACAAAGCTTAAAATGGTGATAAGCAGTAGGGTAACATTATAATGTACAAAACAAAAACGTTTAAATAAAACTTAAAGCGATAAAGTACAACAAAACTTGTCCGAAGTAAAACTCGGACTTGTTAATCAAATGTGAGGCGCGTTCAAATGTTGGCCGTTGGTAACCAACGTTGGCCGCATAATACCACTGCTCGGCGCTGACACGCGCGCCACTTTGATAAGGAAACTAAAAACCCGTCAAGTGTCACGGAAGACACACACACATACACCGACGTCACACTTATTTTTCCTTTAAATAAATTCGTTACAAACTACTAGTGATTATCAAAAAATTTGATGAGATTTTGAAACTTATTAACAACAAAACTCTTACTTACAAACACGTGTATGTATGCGTGCACCAGCAACAACCATATTCCATCTCCCCAGTAACATGTAACCGATCTCACAAAAGGCAACATGAAACATCCAATACTAAACTCTAATAGAACTAAATGTTTGGCGTGGAAGTTTTGTTACCGCTCATGTACGCAACCGTTCCCAGTCGTTTTGCACTATCTCTTAATCACTAATTACTTTACATTACAATAATATAACATTATTAACTATCACTTAAAACTATTTCTCCTCATGAACCGCTGAACCTGCTCACTACGTGTCGTCACGTAGCGGACAGCAAACACTCGTAGTCCTCTGTTCGATAAAAATTAATCGTTGAACACTAATTGGACCGTGCCCGTCGGCAGCGCCTGAGCAACTTTCACTACATAAAAAACACGCTAACAAAGTAAGTACTTCTCTTAAACAACAAAGAATTGGCTAAAAGTCGATATTCTGTTCCGGATAACGTAAAATACAAACACGAATCAATAGTCCAGCGATTCTCGAACCGCTGCTGTGGAGCACGTGCCGCGAGCTTCGGAACGGTCCCCGGCTGCGGGACTGCTCTCTTCGCGGTGCGCGGCAAGCGGTCAGCGACTCGCATCAGGAGCACGCGAGCGCGTTAGTCGCGCCCGGTTTACATGGGGGAGTGGAGGTGCGTTGCACGGCAAGGTCATGAGTCCAGCACCGTGAGGAGCCCAGGTGGCAATAACGGCATGTCTTGCCGCGGCATCTGTCGCGCTAGCTGCGCGCAACCGAGATTTGCATCGCCTAGTTCGGGGATAGCATCCAACAGAGCCAAACATTCGTCTTCGACAGCACGTCGTGCCTTTTTCCCCACCCACGAATCATCGCATTCTTCCCTTGCGCGCTTCCGCCTGGCCTCCTTCTCTCTGCGTGCCTCTTCACTAAGTCGGCAATAGGTATTGTTGATACATACTGATCGTCGAAGGTCTCTTGCTGGGTCTTCGATATTCTCTAATTTCTGCGAGCAAATTTCGATTACTCGTTTGCGTTCTTCATTGGCTCGAATGCGCGCTGAGATCATGGAGAGTTTAGGCCTGACGGCTGGCTCGGTGCGAGACGGGCCGAACATGTCGTCCTCGAAGGCGTCGGCAATCTCAGCGCCGCGTGAGCTCTCACGTTCCTCTTGCGGCGTCATTCTGCAACAAAATATGCAAACATATTAGAGATATATTAGCAAAGCCTACGTGAATTTCCGAAATGGGAACGAAATTAGAGCAGTCGGAGATTACTACTTATAAGAAAAATACATATTAAATGATATAAATGTATATTAATTAAGCCAAATAGACAATATTAATATTAAAACGGTAGCCGAATGTGAACGAGTCAAGGAGAAGCCCTAATTATTTCATAACAAGTACTAGGTCAATCCGAGAACAATGCGTCTACGTCCGAACGACCCAATCAGGTTCACAACTCGTTTTAATCCGCTCTCCATTCGCAATCACACCATTAAAACGTACAACAGATATTAGCGAACAGGTTCTGAAGATAAAAAGTGTCTTAAAATATTTTTTCGTCATCACCTACCTAAACGATAATTCAGGAGAAATGATGAAAAACCCTGACATAAGCATGATAGCAGATCCACTGAGTACCGATCACTTTTAAAACAGTTAGTCCAATATTACAGAGTTCAAAACACTGATACAATACAGGCGCACAATTCGTCACTTTGTCCTCGACGACTATAAAAAAGAAAAAAGACACAAGTGGAACAAAAATAAATCACACGTTGAGCGGCGTGCGCGCAGCTCGGCGTCCACTTGGAGAATGACAACATACCTCACTGTAGATAAGACATTGAAAAAGCCAATTGCGTCATGTACTGCTACGTACGTATGGAGAGGAAACGGATGACGTAGACCGAGCCGTCATTTTAGACGCTATTTCTCGGCTAGTTATGACTCCGTATTAATTTGTTTACGGGACAAAAGAAAAAGTAATGGCTCGCACCGAATAGTTCACAATTCACGTACACCTAAAACTAGCATCGAGTGAACAAGAACAAAATGTAAATAATATGTTTTCCTGTTCGCGTTACATATTGGTGTATCTTTGCTAAATTAATATCACTGAATATTAACTGGAGCACAAAAACCCACATGAATCGTAATAACAATGGAATAACCAATGAAATAATGAACAATGTATAAAGATTACACGACAGACAAAACAGACAGTTTACTACGAAACTCTTTTCAAGTAGAAAGATATGGCCAGACATATCCTCTGGTTCGAAAAAGTGTAACGTAATCTAAGATAATGATTACACTAGATTAAAAAATGCAACGGACATTAATATAAAAGAATCGCGTTGAAATAGCTCTCAACAAGCTGAAATGGTTACAAAAGATATTGCTTTAAATGTTGTATAATGTGTGATGTAAATTGTAGCTTGAAACTTGTATGAAATGTGAATGAGCATTTGTTAAATCAAACGAAGCGACACCTCATGAATATAATGCTTATTAAAAACAAAGAAAATATCTAAGTAGTCACAGAAAATATACCTGCAGTTAGAGAGTTAAACACGTTTCTTTACGTTCTTTTTACCAAAAATCAAAATAATGAACTACGTGTTTTAGTTCTAAAACTGCCACTTTGTTAGCTTAGAATCCAAAACCCTCAACATCGATTTTCTTCAGTAATATGTAACAATCTTTATTACAATAAAATACTATTGGCGTTGTATTTCCGTTGTTTGTTCAAGGTAACTGGCGAACAGCTAGATTTGCAAGTACCGTATAAATTACAACTTTTTATTAAATACGCTAGGAAAATATCAACTCGCTGCAGTGTAGTAAACCATTAACCTTGTCATGAATCCCATCGTGATATTTCAAGTATCCTTGAAATTGTAGAAAGTCGTTTAAGCTTTGCCAGTATCGATATCAGTTGAAAAGAAATTCAACACTAATTAAAATACCACGTTACTCGAACGGGCGGCGGGCGGTGTACGAGCAAAATATTAATTTGAGCATTAATGTGTGACGTAACAACGGTTGATACAGCAGCTAATATCAATGTAGCTAACTGTTATTATATTGCAGATATGACCAACACAATTACTTTAATGTGATATAATAAAAACTGCAGAAAAATAGTTGACACGGCTAATAATGTACTTATTGATTAAATTAATGTATGTATACTCGTATTACTTTCATTACATTTTTGTCTATGGCATCTTCTTAGTCTTATGCTTAGTCACTGTTTAAAATCTTTGACATCACTAAAATTTTCCACTACTTAAAGTAGTCCTTCGAAGTGACGATAGGTGGCGTTTATATGTTTAAAGTAAAAAAAAAACAATGCTTAAATTAAATTTAATAATGAGAAGCAATATGTAACAGTTGTTGACAATAATGTTATTGATAATTATGTTTTTTAAACTGGAATACGAGTATATGGATTCGTTTCCATTTTTAAATTTTTCGACTTTAACTTTGTGATAAATCTAAAAGCTTATTTCAAAACGATTGACATCGATTAATAAACGTGAACTACAAGCAGTGTCATATAGTTTGTTTTTTTCGTATGGCAAGCGCGCGACGACATTGCACCGGGTGTTGCCGACCCCACCAGTTACGATCTAATAAATCTCACCCGACACGACCGACGCTACTCTACTGCCTACCTGCACTTTCTTTTCTCTGTCCCACACGAGCCGAGGGCAACAATCCACTGATATGTTGAATGCCACCATAATACGAGGGACTTTTTGTAGCATTTGACATTGTAGGCAACGCTCATCAATTTCCAAACTGTTTTCTTGTCCGTATTAACGTAAATGAATACAAATCGCACCAGCAAAAACAAGAAATTCAAATTTGTATTTCGGTAATTAATTCTTGTCTGGTACTTGAAATGTTACGTTGTTGATGCATATCACTTGAATTTTTAATTTTGTTTTTCGGTTAATTAATGTACTCATGTAAAAATTCCTAGCAATAGAATATTGTCCAAGTCCAACAATTGTAGCGAGGTAGAATTGATGTAACAATACATAGGAACGACGCTACTGATACATCCATGAAAGTATTTTTTGCTAAATGACTATCGTCACGTAGGCGTTTTGATAGAGAACCGTTTACGGAGTGTGTATCATAAGACAAAATACCGCGTGTAGGTGGGATAATAACAATCGAATCAAAATAATAGTTTAACAATCTCCAAGAATTTCCTCTACTAATTACTCTATTACACACTTTCACAAAAATCTGTGATGACCTTAATTTCTAGTTACATTTATTGATTTGTGACGACATTTCTGAACGAAATTTTGTTGTTCGTAGAAAACAATAATCATTCACATTAGATGGCATCCTCTAACGAGGTCATTGCCAAACAGCGATTCCAGTTCATAATTTGAAATTTGAAAGAAGTAAGTTTCGAAGTAATTCAAATATTTTAAAAAATGCTATAGGTTTAACAATTTTAAAAAGCCAATGGACACGTAGAGACATACACATCAACATAATAATATGTAGATGTTGCAATTTGCGACAGTTACAAAAACTGGGCGTTCATATTAGTTGCATCAACAGTACCGTGGGTATTACATAAGTGTCTTTTGTTCAAAAATAATTGTATCTATTTGGTTAATACATTTTATAACTAAATTAATACAGTATGATATGAATTATGGTGAATTTGTATTTATGTACAATAAGGTGGGGAAGGTTAGTGATTCAACATCCTCTTTTGTATATAGTTGTCCTTTATCCTATTTGGTATGTCATTAGAGAGAAAGAGAAAAATGATTCATAATTATTGACTAATACATTCTCTCAGGTTTTGGTTTTGGGGTCAAGTTTATAGTGTTTATTGTAAGTCTTATTTCATATTATTTGTAGAGGTTATTTAAACGCTTTGTCGTTGACACTATATTCATATAGTACAAATTTACTACTGTTAGTGTAGCAAGAATGTTTCTGTAGAACACGATGATTCATATTTTTAAACAATTAAATGCACAAAGACATCCTTATGTAATGATTCCACAATGGGTGTAAGTATACCTTTCTAGGTCACAAGTTACGAATATTTAATTTGGTTTCTACAGTAAGTGAGTGTCTATTGTGGAACAACTCAGCCCAACTTCCTCTGTTCAACATTTTTTCTCTTTACTTTGAGGTAAAACGAGATTATTCGCGTTAACGCTTTTGATATCTAGGAAAACGGTTTCTCACTTCTTTAATATACCTGGTTATCGCTATTATATTAATATTACCGTTGTTGGACGTTTTAATTTTTATTTGAATTTATTTTCAATACCTATAATATTTTAGCGGTGATGTTTCTTAATCTGTGAAAATGCAGGTTTGATTTTAATTAGCATTTGTTTTTGTCTTTCCCTTATTTTGTATTATATTTATTTTTAAGGTTATTAAAATATCTAAGTAAGTTTAATTAGGATTTACCACGCAAACCAGGTAAGTGCAGTCAACTTACCTTTGTATTATGGCGCTCTAAAAATTTGCACCCAATAAAAATGCAATTTCTTGTGTCTTTAACTTTTTAGAAGTAGATTTCATTCTTGTGTAACGTGCAAAAATATAAAAACAATATTAAAATCTTTAGTATGTACACTTGTAATATTAAATAATTATAAAGAACTTTTTAAAACGTACATAGGTACCTACGTGCATGGGACATTTTACATACCAATAACATGAATGTTAAGTGTTCAAGCTTTATTTATGTATTTCTAACTATGTCTCATTCAGGTTCTAGTCCCATTCGATAAACAAATAGTTTATTCTAGTAAAGAGTTTACTAAAATCTTACAATCATCGCTTCAGTGTTAGAGAGATCTACCCTTCTCTTTTGTGCGAGATTTTGGAACGCATCAGTAGTTTTATTTTATCGCATATAAGGAGCTATCTGTGTACAGTATGGCAGCCATTTTGTATACAAAATAATATTTAACTTTCGCACCAAAAAATAAAGTTCGTTGTAATAAAATAAGCGTTTTGGCATTGGCAATGGATTCGAAGAAATACAAAACGGAATTGTTAGAAATTATCATAAGTAAATAAGTATCAATAAGTAGTATAAGTAAGAAAAGTTACTTTTTTATAGGTAAGCTCATTTCAAACATTTACACAAAACATTTTTATCACTGTTTGTTGATAAGTCATACTTGATTGAACGTTATTGTTTTCGCCCTAGAAAACAGATTAGTACCTATTTGGAAATTCTTTTTTCTAATATTAACTTCCGATGTTTTTTTCTATTTCTTTTTATACAAATGTGATAGAATATCGAAATTGCTAGTTATAAAATGCGTGCTTGTCTCGAGCAATATTTTACATCGGCAGTTTACAACAGACAATGGACGCAATCACAGCAAATTAATCACCAGTAATGGTAATTAAGTTATAGTGCTTTTTAAACTTATCGACTCATTGTCAGATAAAGTTAAATGAGTTTAAAAAGGAATGGTTCGTGTGATGACAGATTTAGAATACACAGTGTCACCACCCCTAGTTATCCCTTTGAATTGACAAGAACATGTACAAAAATATTTAAAATATATTTTAAGTTAAAAAATATTTACAAACCGATTTAC